AAACCCTAAACCCTAAACCCTAAACCCTAAACCCTAAACCCTAAACCCAACCCTAAACCTAAACCCTAAACCCTAAACCCTAAACCCTAAACCCTAAACACTAAACCCTAAACCTCAACCCTAAACCCTAAAACCCTAACCCTAAAACCCTAACCCTAAACCCCTAAACCCTAAACCCCTAAACCCTAAACCCTAAAACCCTAAACCCTAAACCCTAAACCCTAAACCCTAACCCTAAACCCTAAACCCTAAACCCTAAACCCTAAACCCTAAACCTAAACCCTAAACCCTAAACCCTAACCCTAAACCCTAAACCCTAAACCCTAAACCCTAAACCCTAAACCCTAACCCTAAACCCTAAACCCTAAACCCTAAACCCTAACCCTAAACCTCAACCCTAACCCCCTAAACCCTAAACCCTACACCCTAACCTAAACTCCCCCCTAAACCCTAAACCCTACACCCTAAACCTAAACCCTAAACCCTAAACCCTAACCCTAAACCCTAAACCCTAAACCCTAAACCCTAAACCCTAAACCCTAAACCCTAAACCCTAAACCCTAAACCCTAAACCCTAAACCTAACCCTAAACCCTAACCCTAAACCTAACCCTAAACCCTAAACCCTAAACCCTAAACCCCCTAAACCCTAAACCCTAAACCCTAAACCCTAAACCTAAACCCTAAACCCTAAACCCTAAACCCTAAACCTAAACCCTAACCCTAAACCCTAAACCCTAAACCCTAAACCCTAAACCCTAAACCCTAAAACCCTAAACCCTAAACCCTAAACCCTAAACCCTAAACCCCTAAACCCTAAACCCTAAACCCTAAACCCTAAACCCTAAACCCTAAACCCTAAACCCTAAAACCCTAACCCTAAACCCTAAACCTAAACCTAAACCCTAAACCCTAAACCCTAAACCCTAACCCTAACCCTAAACCTAAACCCTAAACCCTAAACCCTAAACCCTAAACCCTAAACCTAAACCCTAAACCCTAAACCCTAAACCCTAAACCCTAACAAACCCTAAACCCTAAACCCTAAACCCTAAACCCTAAACCCTAACCCTAAACCCTAAACCCTTGTGTTGCCCCCTTGGGGAGCCTTGTGTTGACACTGAGAGCAGGCGGGTGGAGCAGCAGCAGCGTCAGAGAGAGCGACGTCAGGAGCGGCGTGAGCAGGCAGAGGCGACGCCTGTAGACCAGACCATGGGAGAGTTTGTCCCCAGGGAGGTCGAGAGGCAGGTGGGCGCCTGGCAGGACGAGGCCCGGGAGCAGCTTCGTCGCATCCTCGAGCGACTTGACCGTTTGGAGGGGCGGCGCTCAGGGCAGTCAGGCCAGCAGCAGCGAGGCAGGACCAGGACTAGGGAGGTTACGGGTGACGGACGCCTGGAGTCCGTCTCTCCTGTCCGTAGCCGCACTCCGCAGGGCCGACAGGGCAGCCGCTCACAGCCTACTCAGGGAGCGGGTGCACAGACTGCAGGTACACAGGGTGCAGCAGGACAGCCTTCCCAGGGTCAGGGAGCAGCCACCACGACCCAGCAGCGCCCAGTGACACAGACCCAGGGGCAGCAGCAGCAGGGTCAGGGGCAGCAGCAGGGTCAGGGGCAGCAGCAGCAGGGTCAGCAGCAGCAGCGGCAGCAGCAGCAGCAGCAGCAAGCAGCAGCAGCAGCAGACCCAGCAGCAGCAGACCGGGACCACACGTCAGTCTGAGCAGGCCCCTGCCTCCACTCAGGGAGGCAAGGGGAAGGGCGGCGGTGGCTCCACGAGTTTCCAGGACCGCAGAGGCGGTAGAGGAGGACGTTGGGACCGGGGAGGTCGTTGGGGGAGGGGTGGACTGGACGGCGGGTGGCAGGACCGTGACAGTTGGTCACAGCAGCCGTTCCAGTCTACCTACCAGGGCCTAGCACAGCAGCAGCAGCCGTTTAGCTCTTACGGCCTGCAGCAGCAGCAGCAGCCGTTCGGTCCTTACGGCCTGCAGCAGCAGCCTTCTTGGCAGTACGGACAGGGGGGGTCCTCTTTCGGCCCCTACCAGGGCTCCTTCTTCCAGGGTCCCTCGTACTTTCCCTTTTCTGGCGCACCTGCGCAGCAGCAGTTCTACCAGCAGCCTTTTTTTGGGGCCTTCTTTCCAGCAGCAGCAGTTTGGAGCACCCCTCCGGCAGCAGCAGTTTGGAGCACCTCCTCCGACCCCCCACAGCCCCCCCTGCCACAGCAGCCTCCACAGGGTCAGGGGGAGCAGCAGGGGCAGGCGAGGCAGTAGAGGGAGTCGTGGGGGAGGAGGTCGGTCGTAGGAGGAGGAGTAGGCCGCGTAGGAGGCTGGAGGAGAGTGACACCGACCGTCTTTTGAGACTGTTTGCTAGGCGCTCTGTGCAGGAGGTGGCGGACAAGCTAACTAACGTGGCTGTCCACAACCTTTCGCGCAGGCAGTTGTCAGAGGATGAGCTTGCAGGCCTCGCCCTTGGCCTCAAGTTCATCCCGACACCACCCTCCTTAGACCAGGAGCAGCTGAGACAGGCGGTGGAGCAGTTTCAGAGGAGGGTCAGGCTGGCTTGGCAGTTCCGGGACAGTCGCAGACCAGTACCCAGGTTCAGAGTCCCACGTCCCAGCTGGCAGCCGAGTTCGGGACCAGAGGAGGTTGAGGAGTACCTGGCCGGGGTAGCTGACAGGGTAGAGGGTTTGTCGGAGCTGATAGGGGGGCCAGCGCGGCCCAACGTGAGCAGGAGGGTGTTGGGCGCGCTGCAGAGGTTGAGTCGGGACCGGTCTATAGTTATTAAACCGGCCGACAAAAACCTTGGGATTGCGGTGTTAGACAGGGAGTGGTACGAGGGGGAGGCGCTGAGGCAGCTGGGGGACAGGGCGGTTTACGAGCCGGTGGCTATGGTGCCGTTGCAGAGACTTTGGGGGCAGTTGTGTCGGTGGGCAGAGCAGGCACGCCTGGCAGGGTTGCCGTCGCAGGTGTTAGACTTTATCCTGCAGCCACGCACTCCGTGTTTGGAGCGGGCTACCAGAGCTTGGGAGCGGTTTCGGGTGTGCAGATTCTACTTGCTACCGAAGCTGCACAAGACTCCAGTAGCCGGCAGGCCTATCTGCTCGTCCACGCTCTGGGTTTTTGAGCATGCATCGGCAGTCTTAGACCACTACCTCCGCCCTTTACTACGGTTTTCACCCTCGCACCTTCCAGACTCACTTGCACTTTTGCACCAGCTAGAGGACCTTCGTGTGCCAGCAGAGGCTCTCTTCCTGACCTACGACGTTGAGAGCCTCTACCCATCGATCCCTATCGACGCAGGTATCAGCTGCATCGAGAGGTGGTTGCTTCGGTGGGCAGCACAGGGGAGGATTGCAAGGGGGGTAGCAGACACACTGGTGCAGCTGTTGGGGTTGGTCATGAGGCAGAACCACCTCGAGTTTGGTGGTCGTTTTTGGCGGCAGGTTCGGGGGACTGCTATGGGCACGCCTGTAGCAGTGATCTACGCGGTTCTGTTCATGGCTTGGTTAGACGAGAGGTTGCTAGAGACAGAGCCCGAGTTGTCGCAGCACGTCCTTCTCCACCGCAGGTTCATAGACGACGGGGTGGTGGTTTGGACGGGGACACGGGAGCGGCTGCTGGAGTGGGTGGGGGCGTTTGGTGGGTTGGAGCAGACTATTCGACTGACCCACGAGATCTCCACCTCACAGTTCACCTTGCTGGATATCACGTTCAGCAAGGGAGAGCTCTGGCAGACGACGGCTATCTTGGACACCACGACCTTCCAGAAGCCGCTCAACGTGTACCAGTACTTTCCTTTCTCCTCCGCGCACCCCTCTCACTGCAAGAGGGGCTTCATCTTGGGTGAGCTGCAGCGGTACATTCTGAGGGAGTCCAGTTCTCGAGGGTTTAGGAGTATCAGGTCGGCCTTCTACGCTCGGCTGCGGGCGCGGGGGTACCCAGACACTTTCTTGCAGCCGATCTTCAGCAGCATCTCCTACGCACGACGCCCGGAGCTTCTTGCCAGGTCACGGGCTCGGGGGGAGGGGGAGCAGGAGGCGCAGCAGCGGGTTCTCCCTCTTGTTCTCGACTTCCACCCGAGTGTGCAGCAGGTCCGCTGGGGTAGGTTGCTGGCCTTCCCTCCAGAGGCACCAGCGTTTGAGCAGCTTTCTCACTACAGGGCACCTTTCGTGTCCTACAGGGCACCTCCGTCGCTCCGACAGCTACTCGTGCGAGCGTCGTTCAGGTGACTAGGGTGCCCCGCTCTCGCCGTCGCCGCACAGCACGTCACTTGTCTTCTGTGGGTGTCGTGCCGTCTCGGTTAGTCGTCTGCCGCCTCCCCGCCCTTCCTCCTTGTTTCACAGCACGTGCACACGGGTGGGGCCTTGGAGCGAGCACCTTTCTGCACTTCGCAGCGGCGTGCTGCATTTGGTTGGGCCGTCGCAGCAGCACCATCCCCCGTCCAGTCTCTTCGTTTTCTCACACAGGCTGGACCCAGGGATGCACGACAGCCTCCCGCCTGACTTCTTTGATTTCAGCCACACAGGTCAGGCCCTGGGGCAGTGTGAGTGTACCTGCGACTACACTCTGCGTTCGTTGTGGGTTGTATCTGTGGGTTACGCACTTGCACACTTGTACCATTCCCCATCCCAGACCGTTATGAGTACTGGGATGCCTTTCTCCTCTTTGCACGGGACTTGGGTTTTGGTAGCATGTGCATTGTACCTTCCCCACCTCTGGCCATATGAGCACAGGGGTGCCTTTCTCCTCTTGCACGTAGTGGGGATTTATGGGATTCGGGGTACCATGACACATGGCACATGTACTTGACACGCCCCCGACCTTTATGAGTACCAGGGGGCACAGCACGCGAGAGGGTGACTAGGCCTCTTTCTAGTTTCGGGGGTTAGCTTGTTAGGTACATGCAGGTCTCCGTCTCACTGTGTAGGGCTGATGAAGGGCTCTTCGACGAGCCTTCACACGCCCCGAACGGAGCACCGAGCGCTGAGTTACGCGCGTTTTAGTGGTACGCTCTCTGGTTTCGCGCGAATCTGGAGAGCGCCGGGCTGGCACCCGAACATGACTGTTTGCATGTTCCGGTTTTCGCCACCCGGACCCGACGGTTACCCTGTATATTATATGTCGGACCATGAGCCCCGTAGGGGCTGGAGGCTGCCGGAACCGTCGGATTCGCCATCTGGCGCCCGGATTGGGAGATATGGGCAGCTGGGTGTAGGCCCTTGGCAGGCTGCACAGTTGGCAGCCTGCAAGGGCGTTTCTTTGCCTAGGTGGCAGGTTAGGCCCACATTGCACTTTGGGGCATTGGGTTGGGTTGGGACAGCTATAAGTAGGGAGCTCTTGCTAGGGTAGATCCTTGTCTTGCTGATGATGCCTTCGTGGCGAAATCGATACGAGACTGCTTCTACCTACACTTGAGGTACTTACTCTATTGCATGTCCCTACACCCCTAGGCTTAGGACTTGTGTTTTTTTCAGCAGTTTGCTTGCCTAGCTAGAAGTTTCTTGCAGTTCTCCTGCATTCCGCTAGGCCATTTTCGTCGTCGTTTTTTCCTGCCGCTTGGGGAGCCTTGTGTTGCCCCCTGGCGGCCCTAGCCTACCCTTAGAGTAGTGCCATCGGCTAGACTTTCAGAGACTCGTGCCCCTCGACTTCTCCCAGTCTAGGCCGTTAGTCTCTCGTTCTACCGATAGGCCGTCACAGCCACTTTCTTCGTTAGCGACTCTAGACTGTCTGGAGCAGCACTGCAGCTCAGTTCTTTGAGCATTCCTATCAAACCCTAAACCTATTGCACTGACGCCGGTGTTGGAGAGTGGCGTAGACGATACAGACTCCTAGTTTTTTCCGTTTCGTTAGTCTTTTAGACGTCACCATGAGTGGGCTCCGAGTTCCTGCAGCGGCAGGCACTGGGGGAGGAGCCGGTGTCGGCAGAGCAGGAGACCAGGGGGGATCAGCGGCTGCGGCTATGGAGACTAGTGCACCAGCTACTGTCGCTGATATTACTGAGCAGTTTCGGCGTACTCGTAGACGGACCGAGCGGGACGAGGAGGACAGACGGACGGAGTTGGCGCTGGAGCAGCAGGCCGAGTGGCAGCGCAGCATACAGCAGCAGCTTCGTCTCAGGAATATTGAGGGGGATATCCTGCGAGACCGGTCCGTGATAGACAGCTGGGTTAGGATGATCTCTCGTGACAGGGAGCAGTTGGCACAGGAGGCAGCTTCCATTCGCGAGCAGCTGAGACAGGAGGCTGAGACCTTGGCACAGCAGCGGCAGCAGCGACCACGGCTTGGGCTACCGTCGTCGCAGCAGGAGCCACAGCAGCAGGGCCAGCAGCAGCAGCAGGGGCAACAGCAGGCCCAGCAGCAGCAGGGTCAGCAGCGGCAGGGTCAGCAGCAGTCTCAGCAGCAGCAGCCGCAGCAGCAGCAGCAGCCGACAGCCACCGGTGCGGCGGGTGAGGCTACTGCCGGGGGAGAGCAGACAGACACTCTTGCCTCGAGGCTGTTTCGGCAGGTCTTTGGTGGTCTTTTCCCAGACACTTCTGGAGGAGGGGCAGCAGCCGCAGGAGCAGCAGGTGCAGGGGCTGGGGCTGCCACGGACCCTGCTCTACTTTCCAGGGTGGCGGAGATTAGGGACGCCATCCAGGCAGAGACGGTACCACCAGAGTTTACAGCGCTCATAGAGACAGAGTCCGCTGTACTAGCAGCTGACTTGCGAGCCGTCGTTAAGACCGAGAGGGGTCTGGCGAAGACTCGCAAGCAGTTTTCTGAGGGACAGGTGGCGCACTGCATCCCGAAGAACTTTGTACCTGAGCTCCACCTCCACACTACAGAGGCACAGGAGCAGCTTCGGACTAGGATGCAGGAGCTTCAGCAGCACGCACAGGGACAGATGCAGCTGATTCTTATCAGCGGCCAGGTGGAGGACTTGCAGCAGCTTCAGACTCGGGTCACTACCTGGCGTGACAGGCTTCTCGTGACGATAGACGACCGACTTGCGAGAGCCTGTGACGTGGGGTTCCTTGCGCAGCAGTTTGCAGCAGAGCCGGCACGCTCTGCTATCTGGCAGAGCATCCAGACGCTGAGGGTTAGGTGCCACGCTGCTGTTACAGACGCACTCCTCCGTGTAGGGCTGCAGCACCGGCAGTACGCAGACACTGAGAGCAGGCGGGTGGAGCAGCAGCAGCGTCAGAGAGAGCGACGTCAGGAGCGGCGTGAGCAGGCAGAGGCGACGCCTGTAGACCAGACCATGGGAGAGTTTGTCCCCAGGGAGGTCGAGAGGCAGGTGGGCGCCTGGCAGGACGAGGCCCGGGAGCAGCTTCGTCGCATCCTCGAGCGACTTGACCGTTTGGAGGGGCGGCGCTCAGGGCAGTCAGGCCAGCAGCAGCGAGGCAGGACCAGGACTAGGGAGGTTACGGGTGACGGACGCCTGGAGTCCGTCTCTCCTGTCCGTAGCCGCACTCCGCAGGGCCGACAGGGCAGCCGCTCACAGCCTACTCAGGGAGCGGGTGCACAGACTGCAGGTACACAGGGTGCAGCAGGACAGCCTTCCCAGGGTCAGGGAGCAGCCACCACGACCCAGCAGCGCCCAGTGACACAGACCCAGGGGCAGCAGCAGCAGGGTCAGGGGCAGCAGCAGGGTCAGGGGCAGCAGCAGCAGGGTCAGCAGCAGCAGCGGCAGCAGCAGCAGCAGCAGCAGCAGCAGCAGCAGCAGACCCAGCAGCAGCAGACCGGGACCACACGTCAGTCTGAGCAGGCCCCTGCCTCCACTCAGGGAGGCAAGGGGAAGGGCGGCGGTGGCTCCACGAGTTTCCAGGACCGCAGAGGCGGTAGAGGAGGACGTTGGGACCGGGGAGGTCGTTGGGGGAGGGGTGGACTGGACGGCGGGTGGCAGGACCGTGACAGTTGGTCACAGCAGCCGTTCCAGTCTACCTACCAGGGCCTAGCACAGCAGCAGCAGCCGTTTAGCTCTTACGGCCTGCAGCAGCAGCAGCAGCCGTTCGGTCCTTACGGCCTGCAGCAGCAGCCTTCTTGGCAGTACGGACAGGGGGGGTCCTCTTTCGGCCCCTACCAGGGCTCCTTCTTCCAGGGTCCCTCGTACTTTCCCTTTTCTGGCGCACCTGCGCAGCAGCAGTTCTACCAGCAGCCTTTTTTGGGGCCTTCTTTCCAGCAGCAGCAGTTTGGAGCACCCCTCCGGCAGCAGCAGTTTGGAGCACCTCCTCCGACCCCCCCACAGCCCCCCCTGCCACAGCAGCCTCCACAGGGTCAGGGGGAGCAGCAGGGGCAGGCGAGGCAAGTAGAGGGAGTCGTGGGGGAGGAGGTCGGTCGTAGGAGGAGGAGTAGGCCGCGTAGGAGGCTGGAGGAGAGTGACACCGACCGTCTTTTGAGACTGTTTGCTAGGCGCTCTGTGCAGGAGGTGGCGGACAAGCTAACTAACGTGGCTGTCCACAACCTTTCGCGCAGGCAGTTGTCAGAGGATGAGCTTGCAGGCCTCGCCCTTGGCCTCAAGTTCATCCCGACACCACCCTCCTTAGACCAGGAGCAGCTGAGACAGGCGGTGGAGCAGTTTCAGAGGAGGGTCAGGCTGGCTTGGCAGTTCCGGGACAGTCGCAGACCAGTACCCAGGTTCAGAGTCCCACGTCCCAGCTGGCAGCCGAGTTCGGGACCAGAGGAGGTTGAGGAGTACCTGGCCGGGGTAGCTGACAGGGTAGAGGGTTTGTCGGAGCTGATAGGGGGGCCAGCGCGGCCCAACGTGAGCAGGAGGGTGTTGGGCGCGCTGCAGAGGTTGAGTCGGGACCGGTCTATAGTTATTAAACCGGCCGACAAAAACCTTGGGATTGCGGTGTTAGACAGGGAGTGGTACGAGGGGGAGGCGCTGAGGCAGCTGGGGGACAGGGCGGTTTACGAGCCGGTGGCTATGGTGCCGTTGCAGAGACTTTGGGGGCAGTTGTGTCGGTGGGCAGAGCAGGCACGCCTGGCAGGGTTGCCGTCGCAGGTGTTAGACTTTATCCTGCAGCCACGCACTCCGTGTTTGGAGCGGGCTACCAGAGCTTGGGAGCGGTTTCGGGTGTGCAGATTCTACTTGCTACCGAAGCTGCACAAGACTCCAGTAGCCGGCAGGCCTATCTGCTCGTCCACGCTCTGGGTTTTTGAGCATGCATCGGCAGTCTTAGACCACTACCTCCGCCCTTTACTACGGTTTTCACCCTCGCACCTTCCAGACTCACTTGCACTTTTGCACCAGCTAGAGGACCTTCGTGTGCCAGCAGAGGCTCTCTTCCTGACCTACGACGTTGAGAGCCTCTACCCATCGATCCCTATCGACGCAGGTATCAGCTGCATCGAGAGGTGGTTGCTTCGGTGGGCAGCACAGGGGAGGATTGCAAGGGGGGTAGCAGACACACTGGTGCAGCTGTTGGGGTTGGTCATGAGGCAGAACCACCTCGAGTTTGGTGGTCGTTTTTGGCGGCAGGTTCGGGGGACTGCTATGGGCACGCCTGTAGCAGTGATCTACGCGGTTCTGTTCATGGCTTGGTTAGCCGAGAGGTTGCTAGAGACAGAGCCCGAGTTGTCGCAGCACGTCCTTCTCCACCGCAGGTTCATAGACGACGGGGTGGTGGTTTGGACGGGGACACGGGAGCGGCTGCTGGAGTGGGTGGGGGCGTTTGGTGGGTTGGAGCAGACTATTCGACTGACCCACGAGATCTCCACCTCACAGTTCACCTTGCTGGATATCACGTTCAGCAAGGGAGAGCTCTGGCAGACGACGGCTATCTTGGACACCACGACCTTCCAGAAGCCGCTCAACGTGTACCAGTACTTTCCTTTCTCCTCCGCGCACCCCTCTCACTGCAAGAGGGGCTTCATCTTGGGTGAGCTGCAGCGGTACATTCTGAGGGAGTCCAGTTCTCGAGGGTTTAGGAGTATCAGGTCGGCCTTCTACGCTCGGCTGCGGGCGCGGGGGTACCCAGACACTTTCTTGCAGCCGATCTTCAGCAGCATCTCCTACGCACGACGCCCGGAGCTTCTTGCCAGGTCACGGGCTCGGGGGGAGGGGGAGCAGGAGGCGCAGCAGCGGGTTCTCCCTCTTGTTCTCGACTTCCACCCGAGTGTGCAGCAGGTCCGCTGGGGTAGGTTGCTGGCCTTCCCTCCAGAGGCACCAGCGTTTGAGCAGCTTTCTCACTACAGGGCACCTTTCGTGTCCTACAGGGCACCTCCGTCGCTCCGACAGCTACTCGTGCGAGCGTCGTTCAGGTGACTAGGGTGCCCCGCTCTCGCCGTCGCCGCACAGCACGTCACTTGTCTTCTGTGGGTGTCGTGCCGTCTCGGTTAGTCGTCTGCCGCCTCCCCGCCCTTCCTCCTTGTTTCACAGCACGTGCACACGGGTGGGGCCTTGGAGCGAGCACCTTTCTGCACTTCGCAGCGGCGTGCTGCATTTGGTTGGGCCGTCGCAGCAGCACCATCCCCCGTCCAGTCTCTTCGTTTTCTCACACAGGCTGGACCCAGGGATGCACGACAGCCTCCCGCCTGACTTCTTTGATTTCAGCCACACAGGTCAGGCCCTGGGGCAGTGTGAGTGTACCTGCGACTACACTCTGCGTTCGTTGTGGGTTGTATCTGTGGGTTACGCACTTGCACACTTGTACCATTCCCCATCCCAGACCGTTATGAGTACTGGGATGCCTTTCTCCTCTTTGCACGGGACTTGGGTTTTGGTAGCATGTGCATTGTACCTTCCCCACCTCTGGCCATATGAGCACAGGGGTGCCTTTCTCCTCTTGCACGTAGTGGGGATTTATGGGATTCGGGGTACCATGACACATGGCACATGTACTTGACACGCCCCCGACCTTTATGAGTACCAGGGGGCACAGCACGCGAGAGGGTGACTAGGCCTCTTTCTAGTTTCGGGGGTTAGCTTGTTAGGTACATGCAGGTCTCCGTCTCACTGTGTAGGGCTGATGAAGGGCTCTTCGACGAGCCTTCACACGCCCCGAACGGAGCACCGAGCGCTGAGTTACGCGCGTTTTAGTGGTACGCTCTCTGGTTTCGCGCGAATCTGGAGAGCGCCGGGCTGGCACCCGAACATGACTGTTTGCATGTTCCGGTTTTCGCCACCCGGACCCGACGGTTACCCTGTATATTATATGTCGGACCATGAGCCCCGTAGGGGCTGGAGGCTGCCGGAACCGTCGGATTCGCCATCTGGCGCCCGGATTGGGAGATATGGGCAGCTGGGTGTAGGCCCTTGGCAGGCTGCACAGTTGGCAGCCTGCAAGGGCGTTTCTTTGCCTAGGTGGCAGGTTAGGCCCACATTGCACTTTGGGGCATTGGGTTGGGTTGGGACAGCTATAAGTAGGGAGCTCTTGCTAGGGTAGATCCTTGTCTTGCTGATGATGCCTTCGTGGCGAAATCGATACGAGACTGCTTCTACCTACACTTGAGGTACTTACTCTATTGCATGTCCCTACACCCCTAGGCTTAGGACTTGTGTTTTTTTTCAGCAGTTTGCTTGCCTAGCTAGAAGTTTCTTGCAGTTCTCCTGCATTCCGCTAGGCCATTTTCGTCGTCGTTTTTTCCTGCCGCTTGGGGAGCCTTGTGTTGCCCCCTGGCGGCCCTAGCCTACCCTTAGAGTAGTGCCATCGGCTAGACTTTCAGAGACTCGTGCCCCTCGACTTCTCCCAGTCTAGGCCGTTAGTCTCTCGTTCTACCGATAGGCCGTCACAGCCACTTTCTTCGTTAGCGACTCTAGACTGTCTGGAGCAGCACTGCAGCTCAGTTCTTTGAGCATTCCTATCAAACCCTAAACCTATTGCACTGACGCCGGTGTTGGAGAGTGGCGTAGACGATACAGACTCCTAGTTTTTTCCGTTTCGTTAGTCTTTTAGACGTCACCATGAGTGGGCTCCGAGTTCCTGCAGCGGCAGGCACTGGGGGAGGAGCCGGTGTCGGCAGAGCAGGAGACCAGGGGGGATCAGCGGCTGCGGCTATGGAGACTAGTGCACCAGCTACTGTCGCTGATATTACTGAGCAGTTTCGGCGTACTCGTAGACGGACCGAGCGGGACGAGGAGGACAGACGGACGGAGTTGGCGCTGGAGCAGCAGGCCGAGTGGCAGCGCAGCATACAGCAGCAGCTTCGTCTCAGGAATATTGAGGGGGATATCCTGCGAGACCGGTCCGTGATAGACAGCTGGGTTAGGATGATCTCTCGTGACAGGGAGCAGTTGGCACAGGAGGCAGCTTCCATTCGCGAGCAGCTGAGACAGGAGGCTGAGACCTTGGCACAGCAGCGGCAGCAGCGACCACGGCTTGGGCTACCGTCGTCGCAGCAGGAGCCACAGCAGCAGGGCCAGCAGCAGCAGCAGGGGCAACAGCAGGCCCAGCAGCAGCAGGGTCAGCAGCGGCAGGGTCAGCAGCAGTCTCAGCAGCAGCAGCCGCAGCAGCAGCAGCAGCCGACAGCCACCGGTGCGGCGGGTGAGGCTACTGCCGGGGGAGAGCAGACAGACACTCTTGCCTCGAGGCTGTTTCGGCAGGTCTTTGGTGGTCTTTTCCCAGACACTTCTGGAGGAGGGGCAGCAGCCGCAGGAGCAGCAGGTGCAGGGGCTGGGGCTGCCACGGACCCTGCTCTACTTTCCAGGGTGGCGGAGATTAGGGACGCCATCCAGGCAGAGACGGTACCACCAGAGTTTACAGCGCTCATAGAGACAGAGTCCGCTGTACTAGCAGCTGACTTGCGAGCCGTCGTTAAGACCGAGAGGGGTCTGGCGAAGACTCGCAAGCAGTTTTCTGAGGGACAGGTGGCGCACTGCATCCCGAAGAACTTTGTACCTGAGCTCCACCTCCACACTACAGAGGCACAGGAGCAGCTTCGGACTAGGATGCAGGAGCTTCAGCAGCACGCACAGGGACAGATGCAGCTGATTCTTATCAGCGGCCAGGTGGAGGACTTGCAGCAGCTTCAGACTCGGGTCACTACCTGGCGTGACAGGCTTCTCGTGACGATAGACGACCGACTTGCGAGAGCCTGTGACGTGGGGTTCCTTGCGCAGCAGTTTGCAGCAGAGCCGGCACGCTCTGCTATCTGGCAGAGCATCCAGACGCTGAGGGTTAGGTGCCACGCTGCTGTTACAGACGCACTCCTCCGTGTAGGGCTGCAGCACCGGCAGTACGCAGACACTGAGAGCAGGCGGGTGGAGCAGCAGCAGCGTCAGAGAGAGCGACGTCAGGAGCGGCGTGAGCAGGCAGAGGCGACGCCTGTAGACCAGACCATGGGAGAGTTTGTCCCCAGGGAGGTCGAGAGGCAGGTGGGCGCCTGGCAGGACGAGGCCCGGGAGCAGCTTCGTCGCATCCTCGAGCGACTTGACCGTTTGGAGGGGCGGCGCTCAGGGCAGTCAGGCCAGCAGCAGCGAGGCAGGACCAGGACTAGGGAGGTTACGGGTGACGGACGCCTGGAGTCCGTCTCTCCTGTCCGTAGCCGCACTCCGCAGGGCCGACAGGGCAGCCGCTCACAGCCTACTCAGGGAGCGGGTGCACAGACTGCAGGTACACAGGGTGCAGCAGGACAGCCTTCCCAGGGTCAGGGAGCAGCCACCACGACCCAGCAGCGCCCAGTGACACAGACCCAGGGGCAGCAGCAGCAGGGTCAGGGGCAGCAGCAGGGTCAGGGGCAGCAGCAGCAGGGTCAGCAGCAGCAGCGGCAGCAGCAGCAGCAGCAGCAGCAGCAGCAGCAGCAGCAGACCCAGCAGCAGCAGACCGGGACCACACGTCAGTCTGAGCAGGCCCCTGCCTCCACTCAGGGAGGCAAGGGGAAGGGCGGCGGTGGCTCCACGAGTTTCCAGGACCGCAGAGGCGGTAGAGGAGGACGTTGGGACCGGGGAGGTCGTTGGGGGAGGGGTGGACTGGACGGCGGGTGGCAGGACCGTGACAGTTGGTCACAGCAGCCGTTCCAGTCTACCTACCAGGGCCTAGCACAGCAGCAGCAGCCGTTTAGCTCTTACGGCCTGCAGCAGCAGCAGCAGCCGTTCGGTCCTTACGGCCTGCAGCAGCAGCCTTCTTGGCAGTACGGACAGGGGGGGTCCTCTTTCGGCCCCTACCAGGGCTCCTTCTTCCAGGGTCCCTCGTACTTTCCCTTTTCTGGCGCACCTGCGCAGCAGCAGTTCTACCAGCAGCCTTTTTTGGGGCCTTCTTTCCAGCAGCAGCAGTTTGGAGCACCCCTCCGGCAGCAGCAGTTTGGAGCACCTCCTCCGACCCCCCCACAGCCCCCCCTGCCACAGCAGCCTCCACAGGGTCAGGGGGAGCAGCAGGGGCAGGCGAGGCAGTAGAGGGAGTCGTGGGGGAGGAGGTCGGTCGTAGGAGGAGGAGTAGGCCGCGTAGGAGGCTGGAGGAGAGTGACACCGACCGTCTTTTGAGACTGTTTGCTAGGCGCTCTGTGCAGGAGGTGGCGGACAAGCTAACTAACGTGGCTGTCCACAACCTTTCGCGCAGGCAGTTGTCAGAGGATGAGCTTGCAGGCCTCGCCCTTGGCCTCAAGTTCATCCCGACACCACCCTCCTTAGACCAGGAGCAGCTGAGACAGGCGGTGGAGCAGTTTCAGAGGAGGGTCAGGCTGGCTTGGCAGTTCCGGGACAGTCGCAGACCAGTACCCAGGTTCAGAGTCCCACGTCCCAGCTGGCAGCCGAGTTCGGGACCAGAGGAGGTTGAGGAGTACCTGGCCGGGGTAGCTGACAGGGTAGAGGGTTTGTCGGAGCTGATAGGGGGGCCAGCGCGGCCCAACGTGAGCAGGAGGGTGTTGGGCGCGCTGCAGAGGTTGAGTCGGGACCGGTCTATAGTTATTAAACCGGCCGACAAAAACCTTGGGATTGCGGTGTTAGACAGGGAGTGGTACGAGGGGGAGGCGCTGAGGCAGCTGGGGGACAGGGCGGTTTACGAGCCGGTGGCTATGGTGCCGTTGCAGAGACTTTGGGGGCAGTTGTGTCGGTGGGCAGAGCAGGCACGCCTGGCAGGGTTGCCGTCGCAGGTGTTAGACTTTATCCTGCAGCCACGCACTCCGTGTTTGGAGCGGGCTACCAGAGCTTGGGAGCGGTTTCGGGTGTGCAGATTCTACTTGCTACCGAAGCTGCACAAGACTCCAGTAGCCGGCAGGCCTATCTGCTCGTCCACGCTCTGGGTTTTTGAGCATGCATCGGCAGTCTTAGACCACTACCTCCGCCCTTTACTACGGTTTTCACCCTCGCACCTTCCAGACTCACTTGCACTT